CTATGGGTGTATATCAGTTGGACACGGGGCAATTGGACACAGTCCAATCACAAGTCGCTGTTCCAAGGGACCCTACAAATGTCTCTAATCACACGGTGCTGTGATTGGCTGTATCCAAATGCACCGTGTCCAAGTGCACCGCTCCCATAATCTATAACCATCCGCCAGCGTTTATTGCCTTTTGAGTCTGGCTTTTTAGGAACGATCCATAAGGGAGAATTGTAAGGAGAGTTTGAAGGTTTAATTATATCATTCGCTAAAAACCCTTGTACTTGGCGATTTATTTCTTCCTTATGAATCGGTGGAAAGCGATATTGTTTAGTGTTGATTGGGTTGTCGTCTGTGGTATTAATCTTGTGTTCTATGAGGGACGTACAACATAAATGATCCTCAGGTAATAGGAAGAGATTGTTATGTTTCCGTACTAGTCCTAGGACGTATAGGGATTCTTCTTCGTTGAGGTGTTTGAGGCGCAAAAGTTTCTCTACTTTACTACTCCGACGATTTTCCTGCTCCGACAGTTGCGTCATCGCAAATACATTTTTTATTGGTACGCACGGTCGTACCTTAATCCCTTAAGGCGGAGGTACGGTCGCGAGCGTCTTTACTGCCTGAAGGCGAAGAATCTTGCCGATACCTGTTCGGCGGGATCTCGGGACGAGATTCTGACATAGATTCGATCTCTTCTATTTCGACACTGGATACAGGGACCTCGTATGCAGATTCGGGTGTATATCAGTTGGACACGGGGCAATTGGCCACAGTCCAATCACAAGTCGCTGTTCCAAGGGACCCTACAAATGTCTCTAATCACACGGTGCTGTGATTGGCTGTGTCCAAATGCACCGTGTCCAAGTGCACCGCTCCCTACAGATTCTCCTGTATTTATAATTCCTATATACGCGATTCCTTTTGTGACAACGGCATCTCCTAAGTAGATATCGCTGTTTATTGAAATTCGAGGAATATATCCGACCGTGAGATTTTTATTTATTACTCGGATTGAAAGAATCATGCGTGACCTAACCGGAATAGTAATTTCGTCGCGTTGGCTGAGAGGGATTTCGATCCCTTGCCATTTCATGCAGTTATTGACAAGGTCTAAATTCGTAACGTTTCTTAAGACGTCGTATCCTAGGATACCGTTTTGAGGAACAGGGAAGTCGTTGTTCACGATATGTACAGGGATATCGTAACCCATATATTTTATTGTGCTAGATCCGATCGTTTTGATGCCCCCGTCCGTGATTCCTTAAAGGATAGCAACCTTTGACTTTGAGAGACTGACAGCTGTACCATTTGGTACAGTAACATTGTTTTTCTCTGTAGTCGCCGTGCGCTCGGGATCGCGCCAGAGATGTCGCTTCCGAACGGCATCTCTGAGCGTTATCTAGGAAGAGGAGAGTGTCATGAGCGTGGAGCGTCAGGTAGCTCAGTGGTTTAGAGCAGTCGCCCGGCAAGCGAAAGACCCGGGTTCGAGTCCCGGCCTAGCAGGACCGCGCTCTCGATATTTTTCTCTTTCTGGAACGAAAAAGATACGCAGATCTCGAACGCACGGCGTCCCGCCGCCACCTAGTATGCCCTCCTCCTTCTATGGTGATTCCGCTAAGGATAGTCACGTCACGAGTATTGATTGTTATATCGGGGTGTAGTGCTTCTCTTTTTATGATACTCAACGCGGCTCCGGTATCGATCATAAAGTTGGTTTCGCACGTTAGTTCGCTTGTGAGTATGTAACGTTAGGCGCATCCGTAGAATCGTCGCGGTTTACGATTCCGAGTCGACATTCTCGGGAGAGGTCTCGTTGATTGTGTGTATGGGGTGCGCGGATTTTGGACTAGTTCCCGCTCGGGGCTCGTTCGGCAGCCTCGAGGGGTAGGACGCGTTTCCCGGCTCCCTCCGAGAATTGTTGTAATCGCGTTTGCGGTACTCTTGAATTTCGTGACCCTGGTTCTTACAGTAACGACACCACTTTTGCGGTGGATTTCGCGAAAATTGTCCTGCTCGCGGCGATAAGCGCGAGTACGTCGGAGGCGACGCGTAGCGACCTCGATTTTCGGAGTTATCGTCTTTCCACGAGTTTTGAGTCGGTCATACGCTTTGTTGGAAGGAGTTTGAACGAGACACGTAGGGCGATCCTGGAAATCGATCTGGCGCTCTGTCCGTCTGCCGATTGGGATCCGTTCGCCTATTGTTCTCAGGCCGCACGGGAGTAGAATGCGCTATGGGTCGGTTTATAGGGCGCAATTCCGCTTTATTTAGGTATCGGTCCGGTCGGCGCGGTGCCTCAAAGCGTTCCTTATCTACCTCTCGCCGTTTCGCTAAAGTCTTCACGTGAGCAAATGCCTCGGCTGGCCTTGTGTAATGCTCAGGTCTCAATTGTAGTCTGTATTCTAAAGATAGTCCTTCGCAAAATGACCTGGCCGTGAGCATGTCTATATTGTTACTCATTGCGTCGGTGATGAGTCCGTTAGCGCGGCGTTCTGCGTCTAAAATTGATGATCGCAGTTCTTTTACCCGCATTATGTAATCGAGAATATGCTCCACGGGGAGTAAATAGATGGTGTTGAGCTCTCCGCGAATTTGGTTAATAATCTTTGGTGATCCGAATGCACCCGTTAATAGATCAATTAGTTGTATGACTGTGTCGCATGGTTCGCCCTCGATGGCGTAATATGCGCGTCCACGGAGTTTATTTATTAGTAGCCGTGTAAGATTCCTTTTGGACGAAGGAGGTACCGTTTCTTTGGCTTTACGGCATGCTTGAGTGAACCTCGCGAGGGGTATATTATGCCCATCAAAGGATGGGACTGGCTCTAAGGCCTCACGAAAAGAGACGCGTGGCGGTGCGTCGTAATTATAATCAACCACGTGGGGTAGAGAGGTATTCGTCTCGGTGTTTCGTGCAGTAGCGTCATGCAAGAACCGTGACGGGCTCGCTTTCATGTTGCGCACTTCTTGCTTTAGCTCGGCGATTTCCTGAGCAACGTCGAAAGCTGAGGTTTAATCGAAATCGTTGTCGTGCGCTATGTCGGTGCGTTTGCTCAATTCGAGCTCTCTACTTGAGATTTCATTACGGTCCTTCTCGATTTCGCGACGCGTCAATTCTTGCTCCACTCTAAACTCGTCGCGGGCGCGTTGAAATTCCTCGCGATCACGTTGCATAGCATCGGCTTGCTCTCTCATACGCGATTCCCGTTCGTTAAGCCTTTGTCGGATCTGTTCGAGTTCTACTTCTGAATATTCAGATTTAGCGCCCTTTTTGCTCCGGGTGTCCATGGCGGATTCTACCGGATCCCACCGCTGTCATCAAAATTGTTGTTACGTTCCAGCCGGCCGCGGCTGCGCGGGTATGATGCAGTGCTCGGGCCGTGCTGCCGGAACCGGATCGCTTTTCTTTTAGGGTTATTCGAATCTGCGCGATTCTCCCCAGAGATCCACGCGATCCTAGATTTGCCGAACTGGACGCGGAGCAAATTTAGAGCGGGTGCATACACGCTATTACGAGCAGATAAGAAGATAGCGCCATTGGCGTCAAGTGCGGATTCTGACTTACCGGCTTCAGCGCCTACGTCTCGAAGGTGTCGCTCTTATGGTCTGCATGCGGTCCTATACTGCAGCTCCCGTAGTGGTGTGGTGAGGAACTTCTCCGGCACAATGTCGAGGGCGGCAATTCCCGATGGTGATTTTTACTTGAGGGTCGCTTACCGCACTCCCAGCATAAACCGCGCGTTAAGATTAGGATATTGAGTTACGGCGCGGAGTTAGGAACATAGAGTTTCACTCGGGTTCTCGAGGTGGTGGTTCTGACGCAATTAGGAAAGGAGGGACCTTGCTTGGAGGTTATGAAATCAAGAGTTGATTTGTATAATAACTATATATTTTAGTAGTAGGGATATACAAAGTCCTAATTCTAGGAGAAATATTCTAGGATAATAATCTAGGATAAGAGTTTATAATGATTAGGATAAGATTAAGCAGTCTAATTAATAGATCTTACGAAGTTCTTAAGAATTGAATTAGAATTAGATTTAGGATTATGATTGGGAGTTCTCCAGCCAATGCTGGAGACTTGAGGGATAGAGAGGTGTTCCGACGCCTACGCGACTCGCTACTACACTATTGACTGCCTCACGACTGTGTACTTTCCTATCTTTCCCACCGGACTTCCTCTGGTGGGATGGGGATTTTAACTTGGCGAAAGCGCCATCTACTTACACCCCTCGAGAGGAGAGACGGTTTAGGTTCTACCTGATGGCTCTTCTGCCTAGGGCGTACTCGGTAAGAAAAAAGAAATGTGCACCGGTATTGTCGGACGTAACAATTGTAATTCTTTATAAATATTAATATAAGAAACATAATAGAACATAAAACAAAAATAAAATTATATTAAACAACGCAAATAAGTGGAATGCATGGAGATAAACGAGATAAAAAAATAATTTTTACGAATATGTGAATATAAATGTATTTATAAATTAATAGATTATTATTATATACAATTGTATAATTTTAATGTTTCAGTTTTGATACATTAAAATTATACAATTGTATATAATATCATTATATCATTCATGATATCATTTATGTTTGTGGCATAATTCTTTGCAGTAAAATCATTTTGGCAACATCGTTAAATATGGAATGAAGCCTGTGCAAGATTAAAGACAAGTTTACACAAGTTTACACAAGGAAAATAGTAAAAGAAATAAATGGATGATAAACAAATATCAGATAAGTAGTTAAAATTTGTATATATATATGTGT